ACTAAATTAAAAGCATTAAAAAAAAATCTCATGAACCGCGGTCTCTGTACACACGAATCCAGACTAATTTCCCCCCTTCTAGGGTTTTCAGTATTACATATTAACCACTGAAAATTATAACAGCACTGGAAAAAGTGACTTATGGCCACTCTTCACACTTGTCATAGCATCCCACCCCCATGGGCACATGATCAGAATTTGGCCACTTTGCAATAAGCATGTATTTAGGGTAGTAAATGGGATGTTGGTTGGGCTGCTTGCTTGTGAATAGTTATTTTTAAAATAAACAAACAGATGACACCATTGAAGGAAGTGGAGGAGACCCCAGGTTGAACTGGCTTTGCTACCTGCCCTTTCCTTCCCTGTTCTGTAGTTGTTGAAATTTTATCTTTCCGTACTTACTTGCACAATGGCTGTATATGCATATTGTCTTGAATTTGCTCTATGCCTAAGGGATAATCACGGAATCATGTTGAGCACACTCGCTGGCTGTCACATACAAGCAACTTGTCACCGGAAAAATTGCCAATGGGGATGTTCCCAGGGACACCACAGAGTGTGCCCATGATTTGATATCATTCTGATAATTTCTGCCAGTAGGTGTTTTCCTCTCTTATCTTTGATTCATTTTAATTTACTTCATTACAGTGTTTTCATTTAAAATGCTGATTTAATTGATGTTTATCAAACTTCTGTTATTTCAATCTGTGTTGAAGATCCTTTCAGAGACTAATCATTGGCTTATTCTAAAAAAGAAGCTGCCTGATATAGTCCTACCCACAGTGGAAGTATTTCCTACTAGTTTTATGCACAGCTTGTAGCCTAAATGTTCAGAAACAATCTCCCCCACCCCCGGAATTCTATTTAAATAAAGGATGTAATAATGGAGCAACCTCTCTAACAGGAAATAACCAAATAATAAAACTTTGCTCCAACATGCAGAAATGTCAGATTCAGCAGTGTCTGAAAACTACCACTTCCTCATGATTCCCCTTGCTTCCTCTTGTTGATAACCAAATGGAGTGAGATGCAGTAATGAGTAATGTAATTGCTGTATGGTGTGGTAAACTGAATTGTAGTATAGATTCAGGATAATTTCTCTACATTTGTCTGTCTGTCTCATCTGCCATCTCCTGAAACCATACACATAGTCCTCAGTTCAGGACTATTTGTTTTGTGACCATTCCAATTACAACATTGAAAAAAGTTGTAATTTTAAAAAGACTGTCCAAATTATATACTGAAAAAAGGAACTTATGACCTCTTTCACGTACAACTGTTGCAGCATCTCCATGGTACTCCATGATAAAAATCCAAGCACTTAGCAACTGACTCATATTTATGACAATTGCAGTGTCTCAGGGTCATGCAATCACCTTTTGTGCTCTATTGACAAGCAAAGTCAACAGAGAAACCAGATTTACTTAATAACAGGGTTTACTAACTTAAGAACTGCAGTGATTCACTTAACAACTGCAGCAAGAAAGGTTGCGAAACAGGGCAAAACTCACCCAACTGTCTTGCTTAGCAGCAGAAATGTTGGGCACAGTTGTGGTCATGTCGAAGTATGCCTGTATCAGAACTCAGTTGAATAAAATTAATGACTTATTAAAGTTGTATGCCATCCGACGCTCAATGACTCTGGGCAACTTACAAAACAATCAAAGAAATTACAATCATACTAATAAAACCACTTGTTAGGTAATATATAAAAATAAAAGTTATATCAAAATTTTAATTTTAGTATGATAAAATGGTATGATGCAGGGGTGGGCTTCAAAAATTTTAGCAACAGGTTCTCTGCCTGGTTGCTGCATGGGCGTGGCCATGGTCGACGTGGCCTAGTCAGCCTCCTGCACCATGGTGTTGAGGGCGTTTTTGCCCTCCATGGGTGCCAGAGGCTTTCCTCGAGTCTCTGGGAGGGCAAAAACAGCCTCCCCGGGCTCTGAAGTCTCTCTGGAAGCTAGAAACAGGCCCATTTCCAGCCTTCCTGAACTTCCGGGAGGCTCATTTTTCACCCACCCTAAGCCTCTGTGCCCTGCACTTACCTGCATCCAAAATGGGTGGCGTGGGGATTCCTGGGAGGGAGTGGGTGGGGCTAGTCAGGAGTGGGATTCGGAAGTTCTCCGAACTGTGCAGAATCTTAGCTAGAAGATCTCCCAAACCCATGCAAACCCCCAGCATCCCACCCTGGTATGATGACCAAATTGTTCTCAGTTTTAATTCTCAATTCTGTCAAATGCTAATGCTAATAATATCATCTGCCCTTTGAGAGGTTAGATAAGATTGCTTTATATTTCAGTGCAGCTAGTGATTCATATCACTTTGTATCAGCTATTTGTGGTAGCAGCAGTTCTTACTAATCACTTGGGGCCAGACCTTTTCCACAGTGATTTCAAAGAATATAACACTTTCAAGACTTCAAACCAAATAAATATATGTAAGAGAAAAGAATCCTATTGCAGCTATCAGGCTTCCTGGGAGGAAGAATGGCACAACAATAACTAACAACTGGGAGGTGAATAGGTTTCATATATAAAAAGGAAAGTCTTTTTCAATTTGAATGTGACTCCTAGTGAGTTTCATGGATATCCCATGAATAATTTCCAGCTGGGTTTTGCCCACCAAAATCCCAGACAATACCTGTATCCTTTTCAGATCAGAGCAAACACACATGCCTCTCAGTATAGCTATCAAAAATATCGCTTGATGTTTATTTATCAACTGTTAGCAAAGATCAAAGACAGTTAACAGGACAAAAGACAGGCACAATCAGAGAGAGAAAGAGACACACAGAAAGGAAAAGAGATGAACAAGAGGCAAGAAGTAAAAAAAACCAAAACCCAGAGAACTTAATAACAACAATCTATAATCTCAATATCTATATATCTAGAGGGACATAATTTTCCAGTGCAACTGGGAACAATATTACAAATACCGTAATTAGCATGGATAATAGACTTTGGCTATTTCGTATTCAACCTTTTATGTATCTAACAATTGCAGAATAAAGAAGGAAAGCATGGGCCCAGCTGACCCTTCTTCTGTTCTATACCATTAAAGAAACAATTTGGTGGACAGTGATAATGTACCCAACATGGAAGTGGTTGGTCATTATCTTCTTGTCAGAGTTCGTTAGTTTCGGCATACTGTCAGAGTTCCAAAAATTATCCATTCCAATTAGTAACTCCGAGACAACCATCACCTCAAAGTGCTTTATTAAAACAGAAACTTGGCATGTCTGTGGAATTCCAAAACTAAACTTTCTTCCCAGACTTCCCACAAGACTCAACCTATACCCACCTCTTTTCTTTCACATCATAAATCACGTGAACCAATCACCTTTCAGCTACAATTCTTGTTGCGCCATAGAGAATAACCTTGGAATTTTTTAATATCTATTTTGTCTACTGAAAGCTACTCAAACAACAGCAGCCCTCTTCCGCAGGTGTGTCGCAGCTTTTAATAAGGATTCCAAATCTGACACTTCTCATACTAGGACCTACAGTCTCATACCAGGACCTACAGTCTCATTCCAGGACTACCGTCCTGGACTTTCTAGATGCAATCTTCTATCCATAGACTAACCAGAGCCAATCTTGCTTAGCTTTCTGGATTAGTCAAGGTTGTACAGATGTTCCACCTGCCGAGACTGGTAGGTTCATGTGTAAAGGGGAAAAGGTCTGTAGACTGATCTGTAGTATTGATATAAGTAAATGCCACCCTTGATCTTAACGGAAAAAAAAACTGAACAGTGAAGTAGACAGATATTTTGCAGTGGTCTCACAATTTGGATGTAGATTTCTTGTTCAAAATGCATCACATCTTCCTCTTTCAACTCCCTGTTAAGTTAAAAAAAATGGCATTTGGGAAAGAGCAGCGCTTGGCACTTCTGCCTTAAGACTGATAGTTAAATATATACCACTTTTCTCCATAGGGACATTGCTGAATTACAGCTGGAAGCCCAAGAGGCTTGTAAATGTGATTTGATTCACAAAAGTATGTGAACTGCCAAACATCTGCATTCCCAGGAGATGTCCAGGGAATGGACAAAGCAACAAAATGTTTTCTTCTTGGGTTAAAATTACTACAGCTGTTGAGGAAACTTCTCTGCTTCCCACCAGAAATGTACGCTTATTTTTAGAAATGCCTTGAGTACTACTTTGATCTGACCTTCTGTTTCAAAACAACTTCTGTGCAATGCTGAATAGATGCAAGTGTTTTCTGTTTGCATTTTGTCCTCATCTTTAGAGTAATGATGAGATGCAACGAACAAATTGCTTTGCTATTGGGGGTGGGGAGGTGGGGAAGGACTCTCTGGTTTCCGTGAGCAGTTCTGGGGACTGTGGAAAATAACTAAAAGGAGCAGGAGAAGCGTTTGAATCGGGGCTTCATCCAAGTGTTTCTTGGTGCCATGCTTGCACTGAGCTCACATTTCCACTGAAATAAAGCAATGGGATCCAGCCAAAAGTTCCACTGGAACACTTTTTCTCTCGATCTTCATCAGCCTCCGTCTGCCTTGCCAGAAGTCGTTTTGTGGAGGTGTTTGAAAAAGTAGGTTTCACTGAAACAACGCAACCCTTCATATTCTTTAAGTTCCAGTAACAGAAGCTTGTAGGCTTAGTTTTCTGGGAAACATGAACAGAAGAATATAGTCAGTTTCCAGACTAAGCTTGGCTCCTGGTGAGTCGTGAATATGTACGGCTTGTTTTCTAGGGAACAACATGGACTTGTTTTGCCATTGCTTTCTTTGGTGTTTCCCCTCCCCCCCAAACCTCGATTCAGTATAAGTACAGAGGTTTTCTGGTGGTTATTCATACAGATGTCCTTCTCCAGGCACCTTCTTGGCCACCGTGGCAACAAAATATTTGACAAAATGGTCCTGTAGTCTAATACAGTGGTGCTTTAAAAAAATCTTTCTTATATACATGTCCATTGCTTTTCACAAGTTACCATACTGAATCCTTCTTTCTTACTTATTTTTTGGAGTTTCATTTCAGGTTAGACCATTGCTGTCTACTACTTTCTCCACATTGATGAGAACCAGGAAAGAAAAAAAGTTCAGCTCCCTGTTAAATGTATACATGGATACTACACTTCACTTTAAATCTTGCTGATGTTTGTTCCCTCTGCTGGACAGTTAAGCTAATCAAAGGAACTTTTAAAAAGATTGAAGAACTGCCTGTTAAAACTCTATAATTTATTTTCCAAAAACTATATTATTTTTTTCTACTTGAAAGGTTTTTCCCTTTGAAAAATATAATTGCCACCCTGGCTAATCCTAAATCAGAATGGCTCTATGCCTTAAGCAAGTTTTTAACAAAGACAAAACATTTCGTCCTCGTAAGAAATTTGAGCCGGGGACACAGCGGTTTGAGCTGTACAAGAAAGCCCAGGCTTCCCTCAAATCAGGACTAGACTTAAAGACAGTGGTCCAGTTGCCCGCAGGGGAGAACATCAATGATTGGATTGCAGTGCACCTGGTGGACTTTTTCAACAGGATAAATCTCATTTACGGGACCATATCTGAATTCTGCACTGAAAAGAGCTGCCCCATTATGTCTGGTGGTCTGAAGTATGAATACCGATGGCAGGATGACTATCGATTCAAGAGGCCTACCAAGCTTTCAGCACCTCATTACATGTGCATGCTAATGGACTGGATTGAGACACTAATTAATAATGAAAACATCTTTCCTACTAGAATAGGTAAGTAAACTTTGATTGCTCCCTGGAAAGTTGATTCTTCTAGATCAAACTCTTTCTCCTTGTAGCATAGAGTTTATTTTGGCTTCAGTGATCCTCCAAGTTCTCTTAACAGTACTCTGAAGTGAGTATTCCTTCTACCCACTTCAGGGGCAACCTGGCATCAATTCCCGGGAGAGATGGGCAGTTCCTTTCCCTATGCTGGTCCTTCCATAAAGCACGACCATCTATCAACAATGCCAAAACTGACTAACTCAACCACAGATCTTGACTTTGTGGCACTTCATTTGTTTTGCTTCCTATTTAATTTCCTTCTTAAAATGGCCAGCCATTCACTGTCAGGGGATACCTTGGAGGATCATTCCAACAGGTTTTGATTTCTAGCAATCTGCACCGCCCTTACCCCTGCCCACCAGGACACATTAACACAAGCCTAGTGCCTCTCGTAACTGTCAGAAGATTCACTACTCTTCCTTAAGGGAGCTGGATGGCCCAGGTACCACAGAAGATGGGTGTTGGTAATGCTGTCAGGTGCCTTAATCGATTATCCTTCACTAAAGAAACAGAAGTATTTGAAACACTCGACTAGCTGACAGGTAATATCCTCTCCCAAAGACCTAGTAAACCACGAGTACCTCAGAGAAAGCTATGAGTTGAGACCCTCTGCCTTTGACTCCACCGCTACGCCAGGAGAAAGAGGAAGAGACAGAAATCTCATTGTGCTGCCCCTGACTGGAAAAACCTCATAGGACGAGGCATAGAGGAAGTGGTGGGATTCAAATTTTTTTACTACCGGTTCTGTGGGCATGGCTTGGTGGGCGTGGCAGGGGAAGGATACTGTAAAATATCCAGTCAAATGTGGTATTTGCCGGTTCTCCGAACTACTCAAAATTTCTGCTACTGGTTCTCCAGAACTGGTCAGAACTTGGTGAATACTGCCTCTGAGGTTCACCTTTATCCTTCTCCTCTGCAGAAGAGAATCCCTCTCCTAACCCCCTTGCAGGGAGCAAAGAGGATCACCTTAAACCACATCTCTTTTTATATCCTGTCAGAAAAGAGAAAAGGGAAGATTGCTCTAGATAGACAAGCCTGTAGCCAATCTCTGAATCCACCTGATTGCTTCACTGCTACTCCCCCCACCCTCCAAAAAAAACAGATTCAATTTCTTAATGTGGATAATTAGCCATCCCTCTCACAGGAATGAGTATGAGGAATTGTTGGTTTAACCTATAAAAGAACCTCTTCAATGCATTCAAGGCCTTAGGCCTTATTTTAATGAGCCGACTCACATAAGTAAAGCAGCTCTCTGCTGATTATTAAAGCAGCTGCATCTTTTTTTCTAGGCTTCCAGGCAATATCCCTCTTTTAATAAGTTGAATCATTGCAACAGTGCATCTTTAATATTACACTTAATGCAGCAGGGTCTCTTCTCAAGTTGGCACTAACTGCAGTGAGCCAGTTCTGCTTTTTTAAAAAAATGCAAACAACACTTTCACAAATACAAAAGGAGTGAGTGAGGGATAAGTATTGAATTTCTCTTCTATTGTGAAGGAATACCATTTTGACACAGCATGTTCCTTCTTGTTTTCACAGCTGGTCAGCTTCATAAATGCTTAGTTGTGTCATTTCTATCTCTTCCCCTCCCATCACCTTTCAAAAGTAATATTGTGTAAAACTTAGCGGCTGTTTTTGTGCCTTTCTCATCATACATTGGTTTAAAGCACAGATTGAGGTTCATTTATGGGAAGAGGCAAATAATACTTTTTGTCTAGAGGGATTTAAAACTCCATGACAATATACTATTGTTCTGAACAAATCATTCTTCCCAGATTTAACAATATAATAGCTGAAACTAAAAAAATCCAACTGACAGGTCTCTCTTGACTGCATCAGAGAAATGTTATCTTGGAGAAACAAATCACTTTAACATTCTCTTATGTAACATACCTGTGCTTATTATTTCTCATTTATAATGCATTAATATATCAATCAACACCATACTGGAATGAACAGCACTTTGAACTTATCTATTCATTACCATGATAACATCAAAATGACAAAATGTGCATTGTGACTCCTAATGTAAGCTTTCCCCTTTCCTATTTGTGACACACAGTGTTGTATATAAATATGTAAGGGGCAGACTTTGCATTGTGATGCCATAATAGGAATTTAATTCCTTCCCCCCTTCCTCCATCAATACTCTTGGATACTGGACAAGGTTGTGATCAGAATTTAGAAATTCTACAAGGTGCCATTCTACCATTTTCCCCTCTATATTCATAGGATTGTAGTCGGACAACAGAATCTCTTTGAGGATGATAAAATTGAACCCCATTTATATGTCTACTTGTCCAATTATAATATTTGTTCACAGATAATCTTTGCAGATATTTCTAGTCTGCAAAACAAAACCATTTGTAAATGAAACAAAAAATGTCATATGACATTCAACTCACTTCAAAATGATTGACCCTTGGCTCTTGATAGCAAGAATCGAATGTTCCCTGCATTTTAGCAACTTGGTCATAAAACTAGACTCAAAAATTACCTTTTTTAGTATTGTTTCAGATAGTGCCTTATACAATAATGCAGCATGCCTTTATCTGATATGTATTATTCTCTGTGAATATTCTGCCACTTAGCAAAGCTGGAGAGATATTGTGGCAAGTCATTTCCATGTTCCAAAGATTGTAAGAACTTAAAAGCTCAGGATTCTTACTGAAGAACAAAACAAAACAAAAATTCAATAAAAATATCCTGCTTATAGTCTTGGAGGTCAAGAATACTGTACATGAACTGCAATTCACTTTTAATATTGCAGGTAAAATTAGCTGTGGAAAAAGAACTTCAGGAGAAAATTGTGAGCGATAAATCCAAGGAGGATTTGACACACTTCTCGTCATTATACTTTTGTTCTACAGATCAAATTGCCACTCTTGGTTTTTAAAGATGATTAGGGGAAGAAACACATTTTTAAAAAAAGCACCAGGAGAGGAGAGAATTGCCATTATTAGGGTTAATTTGTCATTCAAGGACTTTCACAGCTAGAAACTGGGAAATAATGACCATTTTTCCATCAATGACAAAAATGTCTTCACAGTATCATCCAGTCATTCTTGAAATAATATAAAGCCACTCCCCATTACTGTTATTTTGAAACACCAATGGCAGGATGACTCTAAAAGTCACTAGTAGGAAAATGACTAATATCAGTTACATGGTATTGAGCTTCAGTAAAACTTTATTTGGATGCCAGTGAATAGATATTGCAATTTCCTAGGATCCAGAAATAACACCACCATCAATTATGTTTTGTTTATCATTGCCTTCTCAGCAGTGTGTGCTTGGTTAAATTGCTACACACTTGAACAACTGCTAGCTAGTTAGCTCCAAGCACTTCTGTTTAAAATGCATTGCGAACTCTGTGGCATTGGAGAAATATTGGACTGAGGCTATGCCTCTTAAAACTTTTCCAGTTTTTCACTTTTCTAGTCATCATGGTACCATACAAAGCTTAGAGAAAAGTTTAATGAGATCAGTAGCATAACATTTTCCTTTATATTTTTTCTCAGTGAAAACTGCTCAGAAAAGCATCTTACCAAACACATGGGAAGATCATGAAAATAGATGGTCTCCATATTGAGACTGGAGCTACAATGCAACATTTGTTTAATAAATTTTCCTGGACAACTAGCTTGAAACAGTTCAAAAGTTTAATGTGATTTTCCTAGTTTCAATTGCAATATATTAGAAGTTTCGTGTTTGTGTAAGCTGACCTTAGATAACGTAGTGTTACATGAAGAAAACATTATCTTATCAGATTTCTACCATGCTTCCTTGTTCTGTCTCACCTTTCTTCTTTCTCAAAAGATGAAAGAGTACAAATTCACACAAACACAGGCAGGCAAGCTGGCTCGGACTTCACAGAGTTAATTCTTTGGAACTGATAACGTCCTTGGTATTCCAACAGGCTCTGCCTGCCTAGTCCAAACTGATAACAAGTAAAAAGCTACTTACAGAAAATTACAAGGCAGACCACAAAAATCATTCACAAAGAAAAACCTTTACAAAGATCAAACTTTATCCCGTACAAAGTTCCAGCCGACAACACACCCACTTTTATCCCCTGTGGGGTGTGGCTCAATGACTCAGCTCGCTCTCCGACCCTCCCACGCCTCCTATGTTGCTGCTCATGTTTCTCCCTATGACTCTGCTTAGGATCAAGCCAACATTTTTCTCTTGGCTCCCTATCAGGGGCTGCTCTGATATGCCTTCCTCCTGATTAATCTCAGGCTGTTCCTCTCGGTTGTCTGACAAAACCTGAGGCATTATCAGGGAGGAAGGCATTTCCAGTTCTTCCTCCTCATCTTCCAAGTCCTCTTCCTCTAACAGCACAGGCTCGGGAATTGGAGCCACAACACTTCCTGATTGAGAGAAGATTGCGATCTGCCTTCGGGCAATCAGAGAATGCTATTCTTGTTTGTGAATGTTCTAATGAAAGCTAAGTTTGTTGCTTTTACTGTATATAGCAATATTGCTTTTCAGATTTCCATGCATAACCCAGTAGGAAAAATAATAGCTAAAAATAATGTTTCCTTTAATAAAATTGACTAACTATGCATGTTTTTGGGTTGCAGCTGTGGAAAAAAATTCAGAACGCAGCAGGATATTATTAATTTAATATTTTTCGGCTTACAAAGTGTTGTTCCATGTTTTTTAGTATTCTAATTTTAATAAATGATGTAAAGAAGCTCAGAACACTACCTATCCATCAGGACAAATTTCCAAAAATTCAATTGAATTGAATACTTTATTTGGCCAATGTGATTGTGTGACAATGTTTTTCTTTGGTGCAGAAGTTCTCAGTGTACATGCAAAGCAACAGTACAATGATAATCATCTTTATAATAATACCAATAAGAGGGGTGAGTAAAGAAGGATTAATACTATAGCCATACTACATGGGTAAATACACATTCGGCAGAGCTGTGAGAATTAGG